CACACGTGGGCCCCTAGGCTTAAGCCATGTCAAGCCTGTGCATTAATCTGGGCCTGCAAACGCAGACCACTTGTTTCACCGGCTCCGGTACCAAAGGGGGGTTCGAGGACCTGGCATTCTGGATCTACAACGGAGCTCTCCATCAAGGGTATGTAGAGCGGCAATATGGCATCTGAATGTGGTTTTTGAAACTCCGACTGTAGTTTAGAATAAAAACATTCGCTCCCACACAGAACTAATGCTTCTGGAAACGAGAGTTCTGATAACAACATTCCACATTTACACCATCCATCTTGCCTCATTCACACCTAGATCCATTCATCACATAGATTGTTTAGAGTTAGTTAGCTTTGTTTTAAATTGTTTAGAAATAAATCTTCTTAAACTTTAAAACTTGTCTCTCTCGTTTTTGACACTGGGTTATTACGAAGTGTTACCTAATCCCTGCTATGAAAAGTTCTGATTTTCTGTTAAAGGTAGTATTCAAAGATGCATCAAATTGATTCCAAGTTTCCTATGGAATCTTACCTTTGATGGTTTCCGATGTCAGATGTAACAATTGAACCACTACACCATGTTTCCTGCTTCTGTAAGCTACACAATGCATGGTGATGTCATTCGCGTCAACTGGGATTGATAAGGAGAATCGTTTGCAAAAGTGGCGAACAATCCCTAGGAATTGAAGCAATGGGAACCGATTCTCAAAAAGAACCGGTTTTTGATGATTAGTAATTTGCGTTAAATAGCAGTTGGACAGTTGTACCCAATAAAATGGCCAGTGAGTGCTATACGGCACCAAAATTTATTCTTTCAAAAATTCCGCCCAAAGTGGAGGCGTGCAAATTCTCCATTGTCAGCATTTGCTTGTGGACGTAATCACCAGGCTTTAGATTTCACATTGTCAGGGTTAGGGTTGCTCTAGCATCACATGTGTGACCACTGTTTACACTTCCTGTTTTATTTTACTTAATTCCTGCTCTACACGGAAGACCAACTGCAAAGGACAACGTTACGGACAGTTACTGTCCACCACCTTTATTCCACATCCAAGGAACGTTTTTCATCAACGATACAGATGATTTATGGAACTGCTACAGGCTTGGCATGCCTCTGAATGTGCTTCACAACAGACTGGATCTTGTTGGTGAAAATGCACTGGTGTCTGACGATTAAATGGCGTGGACCCACGTTTTTTTTACCTAGACGGGGGTCGTTACATATCCCGGTTAGGATCAAAGTGCGTTACCACTGTCTCCCAGAAAAAATCAAACATTTGCTGGCAATCTGGGTCAAAATATTTTTTAGCACAAGGTCAATCTCCTCATCATTTTGTGCTGTTGAAATATTAAAACACTGCGGTTCATGACTTCCTGCCCCTTGATTTCATTGGCAATGTGAAAAGAATCAAGTCGGAGTATTACGGTGTTTCACGCAGAAATGCTTTTATTATGAGCTCTGCCACCCTTTTTTGTTGTCTGTTGAACTTATTTAATGCGAAAATTTTTGTGCTCATTCATTTTATTCTTTATCTTTTTTTCTGAGGGTCATAACCAGCATGAACAAATCGAACGCACGCTTTGTTCCGTTGCCTCTTAAACCCATGGCTGATGATAGCTGCTTCTCGCTGTCTTACAAATGCAGCTAAACATTCCACGCAGATGCTACTTTTGATTGTGGTAATGCATAACAAATTCTAAACCAAATCACCGTGCAGAAGAATAATGACAGCAGCACAATACCAGACGCCCCGGTGCATGATGGGGCATATGTTGTGTTCCATTAAATGTTGGAACGGGGATATTCCCTGCTGCTCAGTGTAATTGCAACGTTATTATGTTACAGAGGTTTCGCTCAAATATGAGAAAAGAAAAGAAAGGAAAAGGAATGCTTGGGAGGTCTGATTTAACCAGGAAATTTGTGAATTTTTTGTAACTTTCGTTGCCCAAATGTATTATTTTTTTGTTTTTTTTTTTAATTTTATCATTGTTTTGAGACAGTTCTTTAGAAGTCTTGTACATTCTGTGTGGGTATTTACTTGTTGGATGATAAAAAAAAGCTACTTCCAGTCCCTTTTGCTCTTTTTTGACCCGTTTCATCCCTTTTTCCTCTAACGTGTGATCAGAAATGCTCTGGGCGGTTTCAGTTTCTGAGACTGCCCTTCCACGCCGACTTCTTTTATCATATGTAATGGTTACACATCAGAGAGGTCTTAGAGAATAGCTGTGTGAGGTGCATACTGCTTGTAGCACAAAGCACCTGGAGGACAAAAAGCACTTTTATTCCAAGGCTTGGAGTAAGACATAAACCCCTGCAAATTACAACAGACTCCAAACCGCTGGGAGAGGCACCTGAGATAAGGGGCTTTGATGCTACGTCTCCACCACTGCCCCCAAGCAGCCATCAATCAACAAAAATCTAAAGCTTAGAGGAGATCTAAACCCCAGAAATGTTCTTTTGTTACCACACAGCACAGAACGCTGCTGCTTTTATATGTTACATACCAAAGATCAGCAGCTGAGACACATGTTCACATAACCTTTGATGGATTTGTGGGTTAGTAAACGACCAAAGTGTCGTTAAACAGCCTCTAAACTGAAATAATATTAAAAAAAAGATTTAATTTCTTTTATTTTTGCTTGTTTGCTTTTAAGATCTCAAACCCTTTGAATCTTTAAAGGAGGTTTGAAGTTCCTCCAACTGTCTTTTATGCCTTTGTATGTATGGAAAAAAGTATCAGCAGCTAAAATAAATAAATAAGGAAATCTTCTGATGAAAAAATGTTACTGCCTGGATTCATTCATCTTCATTACTGTTTGAATCACACAGCGAGGTAATTATGTTGTTTTTTGACCCAACTCGCCCCTTCCAACAGTCCTTAGGACACGCCCGATTACAGTAACGGCTTTAAAGATACCTTTATCAGATATTTCAACCATGTTTGCGGAGCAGGCGCTCCTCTTCCACTGTTGCCTTCTAAAACAAGCTTACAGAAGCTCCACGCGCCCCTCCTCCACCATGTTAGTTTACTCCACAGTCAGACATATTAAACTGCATGAAAATCAAAATATAAATACATTAAATGGCCTGCATTTGTATAGTGCCCTTGCAGGGATCTACAACTCCCCAAGGTGCTTCAGTCATCCACCCATTGACACACATTCACACGCTGGTGGTGATGAGCTGCGATGTAGCCACAGCTGCCCTGGGGCGCACTGACAGAGGCGAGACTGCCGAGCACAGGCGCCACCGGTCCCTCCGACCACCACCAGCAGGCAAGGTGGGTTAAGTGTCTTGCTCAAGGACACAACAGCAGCATGCCATCAGGTATTTTTTGAGATGTCAGTAGTAATACCACGTGATCTGTTTTCTTGAAACCGTAGGCTGCAAAAAAAAAAAACAGGCATAGTTGCTCACTTTGCGTTGAATCCAATATGGCGGCAACACTGTTACACTGTCCAGGGCCCAATAGGGAATCTACGTTTTTATGTCTATGGTTCTGAACGACTCATTAACTCATTTACTGCCATTGACAATTAAAGTCATCAGTTGCATTTTTTAATGGCGTGAGAGTAAACATCACAGCTCTAACGCTGATCTTCACCTGCGTGTCACACTTTCTGTGATCAGGAAGCAGAAAACACATGAATTAGGAGATCTCTTTGGGACGCTGCTGTGAAAAAAAGCAAGGCGCTAACCGGAAAAGCCTCTGTGGCTCCCACTTCGACAACGGATTGTGAAAGAATGGAAAAAGCTGGAAACACGCTGATTCTTCCTGATGTAAGAGGTGAGTCAACTCTTTCTTTTCGTAGTTTGGTGTTTACATGATCATAGAGTGACTCTAAAACGCTGGCAGCCAGGGACTTTGTGATCAGAAACGGCTGGCAGTGAATGAGTTAAAGCACGACTGACTCATTATTCACTTCACACATACATTTCACTGTGATATTGAGTTGTTGGTAATTAAAAAAGTAGCTTGAGATATTTTTTAGAGCTGTCTGTATTTGCTTCTAGATCACCGATAGCATTGTTAGCTCAACCTTAACCTCTGGCCCACTTCATCCAATAGAGTAAAAGAAAAAGATGCCGTGGCTTCTTAGTGGTACAAGAAATAACTTGTGGGTCGCTCCTGTTGCTTCGGTTTTTTAAACAACTGGAGCTTTTTGCCGGCCGGTGTCAAAATGACTCATGCCTGTGCTTTTGCGAGAGCACGGCACAAACGTGGCAACTTTTGGGCTTACTAAGCAGTTACCACGTCCCTTTTTTGTTGTCAGAAAAACTGACAACCAGCCGGCTGTGAAGGAAATCCATTTAAGTATGACCTTCCTTCCAACATGACTGAAACGTTAGACCAGGGGTGGGGAACCCTGGTCCCGGAGAGCCACTATCCCGTGCATTTTAGATGTGTTCCTGCTTCGACACACCTGGGTTTGATCAGCAGGTGATTAACCGACTTCTGCAGCGCCTGATGAGCTGCTGAACAGGGGACTCAACAGTCCGGCATTACACTATCCATCCATCCATCTTCTGAACCCACTTTGTCCACGTAGGGTTGCGGGGGTGGGGGTGGGGGGTGGGGGGGTCTGGTGCCTATCTCCAGCAGTCAACGGGTAATCAGGCGGGGTACACCCTGGACAGAGAGCCAGTCCATCACAGGGCAACACAGAGACACACAGGACAAACAAACATGCACACACACATTCACACCTAAGGACAATTTAGACAGACCAATCAACCTAACAGTCATGTTTTTGGACTGTGGGAGGAAGCCGGAGAACCCGAAGAGAACCCACATATGCACAGGGAGAACATGCAAACTCCATGCAGAAAGATCCCAGGCCGTGAAGCGAACCCAGGACCTTCTCGATGCAAGGCAACAGCTCTAACCACTGCGCCACTGCGCATCCCTCCAGCATTACACTATTTTGTGATTATTTCACTGTTGACTTTTTACATACTGCTCCTTTAAAGCCCACGATTTCTCCCACACACCTTAACCAGAGTTAGACCACACATAAAAATGTATTTTATTCAGTGTATTAACAAACCGTATTATACATTTTATAGACAATGTTTTGTAACATTTGCTTCACAAACAACAGCATTATAAAAATAAAAGCACATGTAACATTTATCGCATCGTGTTATATTGTTTTCATGAGGGGGATCTGCGTCTTACAGCATGTGTTCGTTTTATTTCATTTAGTTTTTTTTTTTTTACAAAAAAGTGTAATTAGAGGTTTTAATAAAAAGACGAATGTTTGCAGAAAGCTAAAACGGAATAAATAAAAACAAAGAGAGGCCTTATCGCGTTCCGCGGTAAAATGGAGGAAAAGGATTGTAGCAAACACTGAGAACAAAGCCAAACTCATGCTGGTGATGAAATGATTTGTGAGGTGATTACATTGCTTGGATAATACTTTCTCAGTAAAAGCTTTTGTTCGCGTGTGTGGGTGATTCAGATTTGTGCCGTCTACTGACATCAGAGACGTGGTGACATGTGAGTGGCAGCAGAGATTTAAAATTATATCGTGAGCAAAGTTTTTCCTCAGAAAAAAAAAAAGGAATGAGGCAAATATGGTGAAACCCTACTCAGGTCTAAGATGTTGTACAAATTTATAAGAAAAGCTGACATAAGAATCCCAGCTGTGCTGTTGAGATCCACCACGACTGTTAAAATTGTCCAGAATGTCCTGTTTACTGCTTCGGGATTGCTCTTAAACCCTCGGTGAGCCTCTGCGGCGGCCGCTCTGCCTGTGCAGCTGCGCACCTGGCCGCCTGCCCACTTATTAGCTACATAATTTGGTTGTTTCATATTCAATGGACTTGGGCTGCTTGGCACTGAAAGTCTGCAGTGCCGCCTGGATCCTGGCGACGTCTGTGGTGGACAGTTTGAGCCGATGCCGCAGCAGACAGGAGAAGAGGTCCAGAGGCTGCGCTCCGGGCGGGGACAGCCTGTTGACCCGATCCCGGATCTCCAGCAGCTGCAGCAGGGCCGAGTCCTGCGATCCCTGAGTGTACGGGTAGTCCAGCTGTAAAATCAGGTCCTGGATCGCCTCTGGGTCAAAGTGCATACTGTAACCATACACCTGGATGCTGTTGATCTTCATGTAGCCCAGGTTTTGCCCGGGTTCCAGGTACTCCAAGGGTTCAAAGTATACAGTTCCATTCCCATTACTGGAGGGTCCCCTGATCCGGCTCCGTAGGTAAAAGTGGACCGTCTCAAAAAATGTTTTCCACTTGTTGCCTAAAGTCAAAGTCCAGTTATAACAGTCATAGGGAAGGTCTAATTTAGTCCTCTCCCAGTCTGGGTAATTGTTCTGGTCGATGGGCATGATCCAGCTCTCTGAGTGGCTCCCCCCAAAGGGATTGATGTAGACGGACAGCATGGGGTCAAGGGTGCTGTTCTTGGTAAGGCAGATCTGTAAAGACATCCCCAGGAGCATGTGGACATGGTTGGACTTGTATTTGTTACTCTTCAGCGTCAGCAGCATCCTCTTCCTCCACGACGGGTCAAACCAGTTATTCAGCCTGACGTCGTTGCTGACAAAGATGCCGTGGATGCTGATCCGGTTGTCCTTCTTCTGCAGGAGGTAGCGCAGCTCCATGTCCTGCAGGTCCGTTTCAAAGCCAATGTAGTGGTCGGTGGAGTCGGGCACTTCGTTGCGGCACGCGCCCTGGCTCAGCATGAAGCCCTGGTTGCAGGTGGCGCAGCGGGAGCGGTTCTCGTTGGAGCAGGACGCACACGAGGTGCCCTCGCCCACCGTGCACGGGATCACACCCTGGCAGGGGGGATGCTCGTAAGGGCAGGAGCAGCTTCGGGTCTCCTCCAGGTAAGAGCCGATGTGGTTGTTCTCACTGCAGTAGATGATGGAGAGGATGTAGTTGAGCCAGTAGCTCGTGGGCCTGTAACGACACCAGAGTAGCAGGTCAGAGCAAACCGAGCAGTTTCACTGATTTGGAAAACAAAATCAGTGCAGGTTCTTCAACAAGCTGCAAACACAATCAACTGTGATGATTAAACTTAATTATCGTGTGTGAATGTGTTTATTACACTGAGGCTGTTTGCTTTAGAGCACCAACATGAAGACTTTTGTAACACGGGCCTGTCAGACCCATCACTCATGCTGCTCGGCTGCAGTTATAAAATATAACGTTTTATTTCCTTTCACACTTTTCTGAGGACACATCCTTCCCTTCCATGCATGAATCCAATTAAACACGATTTAAGGAGCTCGTCTAAAACCTCCCACTGCATTAATTACGGGGCCTCATTGATGTCAGCAGTGATGTCATGAATCTGGGGGGGCGTGCTTCAGTTTGGGTGTAAAACACAATGGAAGTGGTGATTTATCTGCTGCCTGATCTGATGAAGAGGGATGAAGGGGTGGGGGTGGGTGGGTGGGGGTGGGGGTGGGGGGTGTCTCCATATCTCCTCCTATTCTTTTCAAGCCCACTATGCAAAGCTAACGGTTTGGAAATCCTTCTGATCCCTGAAATATGTGATCAAATCTCAGCAGAACTAAAATCCCGTCCACATTTATTGTCTTCCAGGATTTAAAGACGGTTCAGCTGCTGTTTACTGTGCTGTGAGCACCCGTGTAGTCTGGAATGAAAGGATTTTCAGCGAGTGCTCGAAATCCTTAACAATTTTTCTAGCTGTTATTTATGTTCTCTCCGATACATCGTGGATTACCAGGCGCTGCACGTACAAATAAAAGCCGTCGTCGTCTTCCTCCGCTTATCCGGGTCCGGGTCGCGGGGGCAGCATCCCAACTAGGGAGCTCCAGACCGTCCTCTCCCCGGCCTTGTCCACCAGCTCCTCCGGCAGGACCCCAAGGCGTTCCTGGACCAGATTGGAGATGTAACCTCTCCAACGTGTCCTGGGTCGGCCCGGGGGCCTCCTGCCGGCAGGACATGCCCAAAACACCTCCCCAGGGAGACGTCCAGGAGGCATCCTGACCAGATGCCCAAACCACCTCAACTGGCTCCTTTCGATCCGGAGGAGCAGCGGTTCTACTCCGAGTCCCTCCCGAATGTCCGAGCTCCTCACCCTATCTCTAAGGCTGAGCCCGGCCACCCTACGGAGGAAACTCGTTTCGGCCTCTTGTATCCGCGATCTCGTTCTTTCGGTCATTACCCAAAGCTCATGACCATAGGTGAGGATTGGGACGTAGATCGACCGGTAAATCAAGAGCCTGGCTTTCTGGCTCAACTCCCTCTTCACCACGACAGATCGGTCCAGCGTCCGCATCACTGCAGACGCCGAACCGATCCGCCTGTCGATCTCCCGATCCCTCCTACCCTCACTCGTAAATAAAAGCCATCCAAGTAATTAGGGCTAGAATCTCACCGGGCTGCCGTCTCATGAGGGAGTTCCTAAAATGTTTCGTAACATATTTGAAGAAAATGCATTTCCTTATTTGCTTTCATCTTTCTGGTAATATAAAGCATTCACTTGGGTGAGACAGCTGGGTCACAGAGTCCTGTCTGAGTCTGTAATGTGAAGCAGCTTTAGGAAGGGTTTGGTGACGATCAAGTCACGTTGCAACTGGAGGGTCAACAAGAGAATCTTTTTTAGGCACAAAATCAAATTTAAACACTTCAGGAATGATTTGCAACAAGAATAGATGCACAAATGATGCAGGAGTGTTTTTTTTATATTTTTGTTTATTTTTGTCTGAAAGAAAAAATCAGCAAGCAGAACTACATGAAATAAGGTAAATATCCTTAAAAATGATCCCATTTTCTTGTTTTAAGTAAAGAAACTACCAATGGGCTAAGGAAAAGTTGCTTTATCTTTAAGCTAGATAATGGATCTGTTAGATTTGTTTGCTCTTGACCTGATCTCAAGTTGTGTTGTTTTTACAAGATTTATTTATCTTCGTCGTCGTCGTCGTCTTCCTCCGCTTATCCGGGTCCGGGTCGCGGGGGCAGCATCCCAATTAGGGAGCTCCAGGCCGTCCTCTCCCCGGCCTTGTCCACCAGCTCCTCCGGCAGGACCCCAAGGCGTTCCCGGACCAGATTGGAGATGTAACCTCTCCAACGTGTCCTGGGTCGACCCGGGGGCCTTCTGCCGGCAGGACATGCCCGAAACACCTCCCCGGGGAGGCGTCCAGGAGGCATCCTGACCAGATGCCCAAACCACCTCAACTGGCTCCTTTCGATCCGGAGGAGCAGCGGTTCTACTCCGAGTCCCTCCCGAATGTCCGAGCTCCTCACCCTATCTCTAAGGCTGAGCCCGGCCACCCTACGGAGGAAACTCATTTCGGCCGCTTGTATCCGCGATCTCGTTCTTTCGGTCATTACCCAAAGCTCATGACCATAGGTGAGGATTGGGACGTAGATCGACCGGTAAATCCAGAGCCTGGCTTTCTGGCTCAGCTCCCTCTTCCCCACGACAGATCGGCTCAGCGTCCGCATCACTGCAGACGCCGAACCAATCCGCCTGTCGATCTCCCGATCCCTCCTACCCTCACTCGTGAACAAGACCCCGAGATACTTAAACTCCTCCACTTGAGGTAGGACCTCTCCCCCGACCCGGAGGTGGCAAGCCACCCTTTTCCGGTCGAGAACCATGGTCTCAGATTTGGAGGTGCTGATCCTCATCCCAGCCGCTTCACATTCGGCCGCGAACCTACCCAGCAAAAGCTGAAGGTCAGAGCTGGATGAAGCTAGGAGGACCACATCATCCGCAAAAAGCAGAGACGAGATTCTCCTGCCACCAAACTCGACACACTCCACACCACGGCTGCGTCTAGAAATTCTGTCCATAAAAGTGATGAACAGAACCGGTGACAAAGGGCAGCCCTGGCGGAGTCCAACCCTCACTGGGAACAGGTCCGACTTACTACCGGCTATGCGGACCAAACTCACGCTCCTCTGGTAAAGGGACTGAATGGCCCTTAACAGAAAGCCACCCACCCCATACTCTTGGAGCGTCCCCCACAGGGTGCCCCTGGGGACACGGTCATAAGCCTTCTCCAAATCCACAAAGCACATGTGGATTGGTTGGGCAAACTCCCATGCCCCCTCCATCACCCTTGCAAGGGTATAGAGCTGGTCCACAGTTCCACGGCCAGGACGAAAACCACATTGCTCCTCCTCTATCTGAGATTCAACTATCGATCGGACCCTCCTCTCCAGTACCTTGGCGTAGACCTTTCCCGGGAGGCTGAGGAGTGTGATCCCCCTATAGTTGGAGCACACCCTCAGGTCACCCTTCTTAAAGATGGGGACCACCACCCCGGTCTGCCACTCCACAGGAACTGCCCCCGATGACCACGCAATGTTGTAGAGACGTGTCAACCATGACAGCCCTACAACATCCATAGCCTTGAGATACCCAGGACGAACCTCATCCGCCCCCGGGGCTCCGCTGCTGTGTAGTTGTTTGACTACCTCAGCAACTTCTGCCCCCGTGATCGGACAGTCCATCCCCAGGCCTCCCAGCTCTGGTTCCTCCTCGGAATGCACATTGGTGGGATTGAGGAGCTCCTCAAAGTATTCCTTCCACCGTCCGACTATAGCCTCAGTTGACGTCAGCAGCTCCCCATCCCCACTGTAAACAGTGTGAGCGAGTTGCTGCCTTCCTCTCCTGAGGCGCCGGACAGTTTGCCAGAACCTCTTTGGAGCCGATCGATAGTCTTTCTCCATGGCCTCACCAAACTCCTCCCACGCCCGAGATTTTGCCTCGGCAACTGCCACTGCTGCACCCCGCTTGGCTATCCGGTACCTGTCTGCTGCCTCCGGAGACCCACAGACCAGCCACGCCCTGTAGGCCTCCTTCTTCAGCCTGACGGCTCCCCGAACCTCTGGTGTCCACCAGCGGGTACGGGGGTTGCCACCACGACTGGCACCGGCCACCTTACGACCACAGCTAGCAACAGCCGCCTCGACAATCGCAGAGTGGAACAAGGCCCACTCGGACTCAATGTCCCCCACTGCTCTCGGGACGTGGTCAAAGCTCTGCCGGAGGTGGGAGTTGAAGACCGTCTTGACAGGTTCTTCTGCCAGGCGTTCCCAGCAGACCCTCACTATGCGTTTGGGTCTGCCAGGTCTACGCGGCATGTTCCCTTGCCATCTGATCCAACTCACCACCAGGTGGTGATCAGTTGACAGCTCCGCCCCTCTCTTCACTCGGGTGTCCAAAACATACGGCCGCAGGTCAGATGATACGACTACAAAATCTATCATCGACCTGTGACCTAGGCTGCCCTGGTACCAAGTGTACCGGTGGGCATCCTTATGTTCGAACATGGTGTTCGTTATGGCCAAACTGCGGCTTGCACAGAAGTCCAATAACAAAACACCGCTCGAGTTCAGATTAGGTGGGCCGTTCCTCCCAATCACACCCCTCCAGGTCAAGCTGTCATTGCCCACGTGAGCATTGAAGTCCCCCAGCAGGACAACGGAGTCCCCTGATGGAGCACTATCTAGCACTCGTCCCAGGGACTCCAAAAAGGGTGGGTACTCTGAACTGATATTTGGCCCATAAGCACAAACAACAGTCAGGACCCGTTCCCCGACCCGAAGGCGCAAGGAAGCTACCCTCTTGTCCCCCGGGGTAAACCCCAACACACAGGCAGAGAGTCTCGGGGCTAACAAAAAGCCAACCCCAGCCCTCCGCCTCTCACCCGGAGCAACTCCAGCAAAGTAGAGTGTCCAACCCCTCTCCAGGTCTCGGGTTCCAGAGCCAATGCAATGTGTCGAGGTGAGTCCGACTATATCTAGCCGGTACCGCTCAACCTCTGCCACAAGCTCCGGCTCCTTCCCCGCCAGCGAGGTGACGTTCCATGTCCCAAAAACTAGTTTTCTTGTCCGGGGATTGGACCGCCAAGGCTCCCGCCTTGGTCTGCCACCCGATTCGCATTGCACCTGACCCTTCATGTTCCTCCTGCGGGTGG